GGGGGGGGGGGGGGGGGGGGGGGGTGTACAAAACCGTACCTTTTTCAGAAAAAGTTCCAGAATTTCCCTAGTAGAAGCATAGAGTAAAATAACGTCAGGTATTAGCATTCCTATTTTTTCCATTGCTGTTGACATTGCTTTTGTTTTATCATCCGATTCTTCTTTTTCAGCAATCTGGACGAAAGTTACGGTCAGCTCAGATCCCTGGGAGATAGAGTAGAAGTAGCCAGCTGCCTGTAAGAGATCCACTAAAACGAAAAAAACATAACGTGAAAAAATGTAATACCATGCATTTAATACATCTTGTGTACAAGAGTCCTTGTTTCCTGCAGAAAAACACCGCCGTCCAAGTTTCACGTCACTGACTGAAAACTAACAAACAAGAACAAGAAACAAACAAACCAAAAGAAAAAAAAAATGGGGAAGGCGGGAAACTTGTACACAAGAACGCAGGAAATTAAAAACGAGATAGACCAGATTTATTGACCTATATTTGCTCAGATGAACACTTAATTTGTTTATAGTTTGACGATTTATTGAAAGGATGTTGGTTGGATTATCTTTGGTGACTTAAGAGATGTAAAACTGGCAACGGTGATGCAAAAATATTTGTTGTTTGATTTATCTTGCCCTCTAAAGATGAACTGAATCTTACTTCAAGTCCATACTTTCATCTGAAGGTTAAAAAATTTCTCCTTGGAAGAAGAAACAGGTGTATCGGGTATACACATTTTCTACGGCAGCTGTTTAAAAACCAGTGGCAAGTACATTGTAGTTATTATAAACAATGTCATGATACTCTGGGAATGCTTGGACTATTTTGTGCAATTGCAGAAATGTTTCCTTGTAACGATTTGTATATATTTCAATCAATGGAAAGTAGAGATATACAATGTAAACATAGAGATATCTGAAGGAAATGGTAGGTTTAGGACAACATTTATTATATATCGAAATCCGTGAAATTGGTTTACCTTCATAAAGTAATGCTATATTTTTCCATTGAAATGTATCCAGGATGTCTAGAGTAGCATGTGCATATGTCCTGTATCCTGCTTGTATTTGCAATGTTTTAAAGCATCCATCAGTTGGCCTCGTGTCTCTACGGAGGCTGATAACAGGAATACCAGTTACTACAGACAGTGCGCAAGCGTCAGATGAATTAATATGGCTTCCCTCGATCATCGCAATGACATCTTCTTGAACAAGCATCAAAGCTAAAAATTGAAATAAAGGAAAGAAAAAGAGTAGTAAAATAATCCATTAAAACTTTAGCCCAAAATTTGACGATATTTTGAAATCAAATTCATCATATATATCAGAACAACCATTTAACAAGGGACGTTACCAATCTAAGGTAATTAACGGTCTTAAATAGTAACGTGAGGTTTGAATTAAGCCGCGACACAATTTAGGTGCTATCTAATGCATGACTCCTCAATCATTTCGTCGCTGTTTTCCAGTCTGCCGAAGAGGGTAATAATTCAGTCTTATGTTTTTTTTTCTTGTTTTTTAAATAAAAAACTAGTATCACGCGTAAACACTGAGAAATGGTCAATTGTTGTTTTCTTTTTACCTTACCTCACTTGCTTACTTTACTTATTAATAATATCTTACCTTGATGCAATAATGTGGTATTTTCACTGACGATAAACCTTTTCAACACAACTTCATCAAAATAAGACGTATCATTGAATGCATGATCGATAACTTCTTGCTCTACTGAAAACTCTTGAAAAGTACCTGCATGAAGAAAAAATAATTCAAAATAAATAAATAAATAAATAAAAAGGTAAAAATGAACAGAGAAATATGTCTATCGTTGCTAGTATGGGTATTATTGAACATTGACATTTCTAAATTATTGGCATTGCAGTGTCGTATATAGTGTATACTAAAACATCAGATACAAAAATAATATAATTATTTTATATATACAGCAAATTATTACTGTTTTTTTGGTTTTTGGTTTTTATAACATAACAAAACTAAATTGCGCGCTCTGATTGGTCAGTCAGCCACTACCATTTCCCCGTGGGTGCACGCTAAGAAACTGAGCTAGTGCGGTTAAATTTCACGGAACGAAAAAACGGATTTACCGAACGTCAAAGGTGAAGTCAAACGGGCGATAAAGGCCACCTTTGCACACCTTTGTACAACTTTGACGCGCGACAAATGTTTACATTTGCCCGCGGTCAAAGGCGCGTCTTCAGGCGATAAAGGCCGTTTTTGTCACGCCTTTAACCCCTACCTTTGACGCGCGTCAAAGGTATATTTCATTAGCATTTGTACCCCTATCAAAGGCGTCGTCAAATATGTCTGAGATTCAGGCTAAAGGTGTGACAAAAGCGCGGCAAAGTTATGTCTGTGATTAAAGTCAAAGGCTTGTGAAAAGTGTCGTCAAAAGTGTCTGAGCCTCAGGTCAAATGTGTGACAAAGTTGTCGTCAAATGCGTGTGAGATTTAAGTCAAAGGTTTAACAAAGGTGTTGCCAAATATG